CTAGGTAACAGAGGCATAAGGTGAAAGAAACTCTGCCCATTGTTTCTCGCCGGCGCCCGGGATCGAACCCGGGACCACAGGATCATAAGTCCAGTGTGCTGTCCGCTCGGCCGACCGGCTCCCTCATTGGGGAAGTATCGACTGATGAAGCACAAAGAGTACCACGGGGACACCGGCCACAAGACTGTACCTGAAGGTGTAAGACTACGTGAAGGCAACTAAACATTACATCTCCACAACACTTTAGTGTAAACACAACATGGGACAACTGGGTGAACCACCACATGCAACACTGAACAAATACTGAACTCAAATGACCTAGGAGGAAATAATTTATTAAAATCAATTCTTTAACAAGTGTGGATACGAGGGCACGAGTACAAGGTGGTCCCCCACACAAGACGTGCAGGTACGCCGCCTCCATCACAAAAAAAGTATCAATCTAGTAAGGGAGTGATGGTGGTGTGAAGCACGATGCCCAGTACCACAACCCACCTGACCATGCAGTCACCAGTCACCCTGTACGTGGATATAGTGATTCCACGTACGGCAAGGTCACGTGTCAACTGTGGCACTGCAACAACTTGACAGTCGGTCACCTGGTGAAGCGGGAGGCGGGTGCCAGGGCCCCAGTGTGCACATGCCAGGAGCCTGCCTCCCTCCCGCCACCATTACGGCTCCCACTAACTCAAGGTTTTAATCACAGGTGGACGAGGGAGCGGGGCGGGGAAGGGGGGCGAAAGGATTGGAAAGAAGAATTGGAGGGGGGAGAGAAGTATTTTCACTGCACATATACTAGGGCGTCTTGGAATACATTTCATGCGAATGAGCCTAGCACCCAACTACCTTTCACCATGTTGGAGCTTAGTGGTGAGAAGACGGCAAGTGGAGGCCGGAAACAATGAAGGCAGAGCATAACGTCACCCTCGTGCTACCACCACACCGACCTCTGCATGGCCCGTTGCTACCACCACACCGACCTCTGCATGGCCCGTTGCTACCACCACACCGACCTCTGCATGGCCCGTTGCTACCACCACACCGACCTCTGCATGGCCCGTTGCTACCACCACACCGACCTCTGCATGGCCCGTTGCTACCACCACACCGACCTCTGCATGGCCCGTTGCTACCACCACACCGACCTCTGCATGGCCCGTGCTGCACTACGAGACCCAAGCCAAATACTGCATCTGGCAGGCACGCAGCTTTACCAGTCATTTCACTCAATTATTCACTCAGGTTTATTACCAATTTAAAGAGATAACTGGCACCAGTGTACCTTAAGTCTCGTGTATCACTGTGCGCGCTATTCTTATGAGTTCATCTGAGAACTTTGGTCAAGCACGCGTAGGCAAGTTGCTTCTCTCCCCAGGCCTACAGTAGTGACGTGCGTTCCATCGGTTATAACAATTTACTTCAAAGCCTACTTAAAAGTGTGTTAATGTGCCGATACAGTCAGTTTCTAGTCTCATGCCGTTTCTCAACTCCCGTAAAATGGGTTTCAGTTTTAGGCGTGTCACTAGTATGAGTGATCGATCGACTTTAAAACTTTATAGACCGTGTTAAGTTTAACACAATTCTTTATTAAAAGCGTTCCAAGATGGTGGGGTTGACTACAAGACCAGGCTTTAACTACTGGAGGTAGGTAGCCCTGTGACTCATGGGGGGCGCCTGGCCACTCGTCGGCCCCAGTCAATCCTTATTTTGGTCCACTCACTTTCCGCACTGTTACTTCTCGTATTGTGTCAATAAGGCAAATGTTACCCTTAAGGCTCCAGACGTGGGTACAGTTAGGAGTGGCAATGTTACACAGTAATACTCTCAATGGAGAACCTTTGCTTTCTGCCCGCCAGTGTTGATCACATGCTTTTATCTTAAAAACTTCAAAAGTTCTCGAATTAAATTAGGTCTTTGTTCCATTGAACATTGATAGTACTAAGTGCTTTAAGAAAGTATTCTTTAAGTATACACCTTGCCCACATCTTGCTAGTGCGTGTGGACTTGCTTCATCAAGGTAGCAATTGTTACAGTAAAACAATCTTGGTTCAGAACTTCACACAGGTAAAAGGAGAGCCATGTAGACATCGGTACATCGTGCATGTGTTCTAATTTAAGTGAAACACGCCAGTGTGAGCAAGATGGTGCAGACAACGTTATACACCACACACCTGGGGAATATACTGTACATCTATTCTTTGTTCTTGACCTGCCTTATACAGTAATCAAGTGGCAGTAATGGTGGAGAGGCAGGGCAGGAGGGAGACCAACAGTCTCAACACTAAATTTACACCAAGGCCAAAAGGGTGGAAATCACTAGTGCCGTGAAATGTGTGAACTTTGCGTGCCGTAGCATACATTAAACAGGCCAGCGAGACACTGAGGCAAGGGTTGTGGCGGCCAGGTCTACAACACTGCCAGGCTTGAGCTTTTACCCAGATAACTTTCCCCATTACCTTCTATCCGGCGGAGTGTGCAGCCATGCCAGAATGACGAGTCATGAAGTGAGAGGAGCGCCACGAGAGATGATGACGCCTGCCCACACCAGAGGCCAATACCATCTCTACTCTCGCCACAAGTCAGACATCTCCACACTCCATCTGCACCTCTCACTCTAGTGCCATGATGCAGGTGCGCCAGGGCAGGGCCAGCAGGCACGGGCACCCACTTGCGCCAGGGGGAGGGGCAGAGGTGCGTGAGAAGGGGGCGAGGGGCAGAGGTGCATGAGAAGGGGGTGAGGGGCAGAGGTGCGTGAGAGGGGGGGGGAAGTGGAGGGGCAGAGAAGTGGGGAAGGGGCAGAGAGGTGCGTGAGGGGGGGGTAGGGGCAAAGAGGTGCGTAAGTGGGGGGTAGGGGCAGAGAGGTGCGTGAGGGAGGGAGGGGTAGGGAGATGTGTGAGGGAGGGAGGGAGGGGCAGCGAGGTGGAATAAAATGTTAAGAAAATGTTGAGGTTAGGAATGTTGTTAGGAGCGTGGCGGGAGCATGAGGGTGGTGGTGGTGGCGGCGGCGGCGTGGCTGATGATCAATACTGGTTACTTCCCCAGTACACCAGAGAGGAAGGCATTCTCCAACACTGCCTCACCTCCACTCTGTGTAGAAATGTTGGCCAAGTTGTGAGGGGTCGCTCGCTGGTAGGGAATGAGAGCGCCAGGGACACACAAGATCGATTGCCACGTTGGGTGTGGCTTGGAGGCGGCGGCGGCGGCAGCGATGGTGGAGGTGGTGATGGTGCGCGCTATCCTGCCGATGGTTGAGGCGACATGCACCATCACTGACCTGGTCCTGCCCTCATCACACACCACAACTCTACTTCCACTTTACCTGCCATTGTTTGCTTGCTTCGCGACCTTGGAGGCGGACATGTTGGTAATCCTGGCGAGGGTCAGAGTTACTCCAGGGGCGGCGAGGCCCGGCAGGGTGTAGCGGGGCGTCACTGTCATAGTGGTGGCGGGGGCGGCGGCGGCGGGGAGACGGGCGGTGTTGAGCGGGCGGCGGGCGAGCGGAGAGTGAGGCCGGGCCCGCGGGTTACCTGGGTAATCCTGCTATCGACCGCCCTCTCCCCTCCCCATGACCCCTCACAACCCCCCCACCCCACCCCACCCCACCGTCCGCCGCCACCGGCACCACCGCCGCCGCCAGGCCGGTCGCCCTCTTGTGCCAGACCCGCACCCCGCCCCCAACACACACAAGCAGGGGGGGGGGATGGGGGCCAACTCACCCCCCACACCACCTGCCCAACTTCCACACACCTGGCGCCACGTGTCGCACGCGCCCTCACGCGCATGCACGTACACACGCACGCACACCCCTCAAACGCATGCACTCAGGTGCACGTCACCCGCACCTACCCCACATTACTACCATAATCAATATCTACTTGAGAAAGTATCAATTTTCAATAAATATTACCTGGTGGCCATGGGTACTGATGGTAGTGACCCGGGTGGTAGGCACCTGCACCACACTGGCCGACACCTACCACATCACCGCCAACAATTCCCAAGTAGCGGATGCGTCCTACAACCGCCCGTTCCACCAGTCCGTAGCCACAACAAAACACCCGCCACAAAGCTAACATTTCACCCCCTCTGCCAGACACGCTTCACCACCACACGGAATGTAGGTGTGGTGTTGTTCATGGTGCACGAGTGGTCATGGGGGAGCCACGGACCATAGCTGTTATATTGCACCACGTCCCGCCCACCTACCTACCAGTCGTGACTGGTCCAGTACACCACCACCCACGTCCCGCCCACCCACCAGTCGTGACTGGCCCAGTACACCACCACCCACAACACCACGTCCCGCCCACCTAACCATCCCTTTCAATTTTGTTACTTGGCTCATGCACTGTCAACAATGTTTACCTAGGAAAAAACACGCATCACAGTGGCGTGATATCAAATGAACAAATCCACAAGGGCCGTGATGAGGGTTCGAACCTACGCTCGGGTTGATCCCAGATGCGCTTTAGTCAACTGTACCACGACATGGTCAAAAGAATTGCAACCTGGAGTGCTACTGCCCTCACGAGGATCCCGCAGCTTCTCCGAGACACAATCTGGGGTTTCACACAATTCCCCCCCATGCACCCGGGCTCTATCAACTAGATGTTGACATCTGGTTGAAATTCTGTTGACTATGTCGTGGCACAGTTGACTAAAGCGCGTCTGGTATCAACACCGGGCATAGGTTCGAATCCTCATCACGGCCCTTGTGGATTTGTTCATTTAACCAGGGATCGTTGTGTGCACACTTTGAAGAGTCTTTAATGCACAAAGACTTGCATTGCAGCATCTGAGGAATGTTCACTGCATTACTTTATTGGTACTAAGACAATAGCTGGCCCTGCACTACCTTCCTACCGGTTTTACACCTAAACTTAAATCAAGGTGTGCTAATGTGATTTCCTAAAAAGGAAATTGGATAAGTAGTTGGTCACAAGACGCTAGGTGGAGGTGAGAGACTGATGGAGGGAAACAGAGCAGTGTTGGGTACTCACCTCGCGGAGTTCCTTGATCTTGCTGCCACCCTTGCCGATAACACAGCCTGCCTGACTCTGGTGCACCAGCATACGTGCGTCAGACTCTGTCCCCTTCTGCAGCGCCTGCACCCAAAGTAACACGTTGACTAAATATTGATCAAAATACTTTAGCTTCATATTATACACAGGTATATAGATAATGTAGTGGAGAGATGCAGTATATATATCAGTATAACATGCATATGAACAAGGGGGAGTAACTCACCTCATCGAGACATTCCAGGACTTCGTTTAGTACCTTGAGGACCACCTCCTCCGACCCACCGATGGTCAGCACTCTGTAACACACACAGTACACCTACGTCACACCCTACACTCGCCCCGCCCTACACACCTGCCTCACACAACCCCTCTACATGTACATATCATACACCCACACAACACACTACATGGCAGGCTTAATATAATAGCAATAAAGCTACAATTTAATAAATATATCAAAACCACAATCACAGACACACCATCAGAGACTACGAGTCCCCAGGACGACAAACTCGCTAAAGAGAACTTCCGGGAAATGGCTAATGGAGTTCAACGACAAGTGTAGGGCGATAAAAATGGGAACTGGTGCCAAGAGAGCAAAAGGCAGTACACGAAGGGAAAGTACATCCCTATATCTAGAGAAAACGACCCGAGGGGACATAACACCAAACCTAACTCCAGATTTATAAGATAATGTCAGTAGCACACTCTACACTAGCGAAAGTCAGAACATCCTTCAGGAACGTAAATAAGGAGGCATTTAGATCATTGTACACTACCTACGTCAGACCAGGTTTAGAGTATGCCGCCCCATCACAGAGCCATTTAAAGACACACAGAAGGAAATTCGAAATAGTTCAGAAGACTGCAGCAAGGCTCGTCCCAGAATTGCGAGGGATGGAGTATGAAAGACTGAAGGAACTGAATCTGACGATGCTAGAGGGAGGGGGGGGGGTTAATATAAGAGATCACACACTAAGGGGGATTGACAGTTAAAAACCATTAAATGCTCACAATGAATATCAATAAAACAAGAGGATATGGATGGAAGCTTGAGACTACCAAGACTAGTCATACACATGTTAGAAAGTTGACTTTTAGCACACTAGTGGGAAAATTGAATGGAGGTTGAAGAGGGAAAACTACATAATCTAAAATGTACAGTAAATACGATATGAAAATAGGTGGAGTCATTGCACTAAGACAACAGGACGGAAAAGTTAGGTCCACAAGCAAACGCTCCATCCTGCAAGCACGAATACAGGAATACAAACAGGTGAGCGAGTGAGCACACGCACAAAACTAATGGGAAGGGTCGAGCCCTTGAGTGCGTCAAGAGGTTTAGCCTTTTTTTTTAGCATAAGGGAAGTGAGTAAATGGAATGGAGGTTGTAGAGGAAAATTAAATTCACAACTTTTAAAAGCAAATATGACAGGGCAATAGGAGTCATTGCATTAGACAACGGGCAGCTAGAAAAGCGGGGTCCAAGAGCTAGCTCTCAATCCTGCAGACAAATAGAGTACGTACACACACACACAACAATAATAATTAGGTGAAAACACACACACAGGGACCAAAGAGCCAACGCTCAACCCCCGCAAGCACAACTAGTAAGAGTTAACACTGTCTCTTGGCCGAGTGGAAAGCACTTGGGGCTGTAATCCAACGGGCCTGGGTTCGATTCCCCGACTAGGCAGAAACAAACGAGAAATTTCTTTCACCTAATGCACATATTCACTAGTATTAAATAGGTACCTGAAAGTCACACAGCTGATACAGGGTTGGGCTGTGTGTGTGCTGGGAGGGGGGGGGGGGGGGTTAGAGGCTGGGTTGGGGTGTGTGCTGCAGGGGAGAGGCTGGGCTGTGGGTGTTCCAGAGGGGGGGGGGGGGGGGGTTCCAGGGGTGTGTGCTGCAGGGGAGAGGCTGGGCTGTGGGTGTTCAGGTGGGGGGGGGGGGGTTCCAGGGGTGTGTGCTGCAGGGGAGAGGCTGGGCTGTGGGTGTTCAGGTGGGGGGTGTTCCAGGTGTGTGTGTGTGTGTGTGTGTGTGTGTGTGTGTGTGTGTGTGTTCCAGAGGGGGGAGGAGGTTGTTCTGGGGGGGGGGGGGGGGGGGGAAGGAGGTTGTTCTGGGGGGGGAAGGAGGTTGTTCGGGGGGGGGGGGGAAGGAGGTTGTTCGGGGGGGGGAAGGAGGTTGTTCGGGGGGGGGAAGGAGGTTGTTCGGGGGGGGGGGAAGGAGGTTGTTCGGGGGGGGGGGAAGGAGGTTGTTCGGGGGGGGGGGGGAAGGAGGTTGTTCGGGGGGGGGGGGAAGGAGGTTGTTCGGGGGGGGGGGGGGAAGGAGGTTGTTCGGGGGGGGGAAGGAGGTTGTTCGGGGGGGGGGAAGGAGGTTGTTCGGGGGGGGGGAAGGAGGTTGTTCGGGGGGGGGGGAAGGAGGTTGTTCGGGGGGGGGGGGGGGGGGGGGAGGTTGTTCGGGGGGGGGGGGGGGGGAAGGAGGTTGTTCGGGGGGGGAAGGAGGTTGTTCGGGGGGGGGGGGGAAGGAGGTTGTTCGGGGGGGGGGGAGGAAGGAGGTTGTTCGGGGGGGGGGGGGAAGGAGGTTGTTCGGGGGGGGGGGGAAGGAGGTTGTTCGGGGGGGGGGGGGGGAAGGAGGTTGTTCGGGGGGGGGGGGGGAAGGAGGTTGTTCGGGGGGGGGGGGGGGGAGGAGGTTGTTCGGGGGGGGGGAAGGAGGTTGTTCGGGGGGGGGGGGGGGAAGGAGGTTGTTCGGGGGGGGGGGGGGAAGGAGGTTGTTCGGGGGGGGGGGAAGGAGGTTGTTCGGGGGGGGGGGGGGAGGAGGTTGTTCTGGGGGGGGGAGAGGTTGTTCTGGGGGGGGGAAGGAGGTTGTTCTGGGGGGGGGGGGGGGAGGAGGTTGTTCTGGGGGGGGGGAGGAGGTTGTTCTGGGGGGGGGAGGAGGAGGTTGTTTGTTCCAGGGAAGTGTTCCTGAAGGGGGGTGTGTGTTCGGGGGGGGGGTGGTCTGGAGGGGGTATTTCTTTTTTCCTGGGGAGGGGGTGTTTCTGAGGGGGTTGTTTCTGGGGGGGGGGTTGTTTCTGGGGGGGGGGGGTTGTTTCTGGGGGGTTTCTGGGGGGGGGGGGTTCTGGGGGGGGGGGGGGTGTTTCTGGGGGGGGGGGGTTCTGGGGGGGGGGGTTGTTTCTGGGGGGGGGGTTTGTTTCTGGGGGGGGGGGTTTGTTTCTGGGGGGGGTTTGTTTCTGGGGGGGGTTTGTTTCTGGGGGGGGTTTGTTTCTGGGGGGGGGGTTGTTTCTGGGGGGGGGGTTGTTTCTGGGGGGGGGGTTGTTTCTGGGGGGGGGTTGTTTCTGGGGGGGGGGTTGTTTCTGGGGGGGGGGTTGTTTCTGGGGGGGGGGGTTGTTTCTGGGGGGGGGGGGGTTTCTGGGGGGGGGGTTTCTGGGGGGGGTTTCTGGGGGGGGTTTCTGGGGGGGGGGGTTTCTGGGGGGGGGTTGTTTCTGGGGGGGGGGTTTCTGGGGGGGGGTTGTTTCTGGGGGGGGGTTGTTTCTGGGGGGGGGTTGTTTCTGGGGGGGGGTTTCTGGGGGGGGGTGTTGTTTCTGGGTGTGTGTGTGTTCTGGAGGGGAAGAGAAGAGCAGAGGCTGGGCTGAGAGGGGTGTTCTGGAGAGGGGTGTTCTGGAGAGGGGGTAAGAGGTTGGGCTGGGGTTGTTCTAGTGGGGTGTTCCTGGGGTGGGGGGGAAGGCCAGAGGCTGTGCTGGTGGTGCTCTGGGAGGCAGAGGATAGGCTTGGGGATGTTCAGAGGGGGAAACAGGCAGGGCTGAGGGGTGTTGTGGGGGAGGACAAGGTGTGGGAGGGTTGTAAGGGGGGGGGGGGGGGACGAGAGGTGGTGGGTGTTTTGGGGGTTGACGAGAAGTGTGGGAGAGCAACTCGTTCTCGCACTTTCTTACAGTCAATATTGATTTATTTAATAAGTGCATATGTGACATACTAATTTATTGTGAATATTTTAGTTTACTTGAAAGCTTCATAGAAAACACTGACCTTACCTAACCTTCTTAGTATGTTAAGATTTAAGATAAGCATCTTATTGCTTCGTAATTACAATTATTACTTAACCTATACCTATAATAGGTTAATATTATAGGTATAGGTTAAGTAATAATTGTAATTACGAAGCAATAAGATGCTTATCTTAAATCTTAACATACTAAGAAGGTTAGGTAAGGTCGGTGTTTTCTATGAAGCTTTTCAAGGTAAACTAAAATATTCACATTAAATTAGTATGTCACATATGCACATATTTAATAAGTCAATATTGACTATACGAAAGTGCGAGAACAGGTTGGGGAGAGTTGGGGGGGGGGGGGGGGACAAGAGAGGTGTGAGTGGAAGGGGACTAGTGTGGGAGTAGTACAAGAGGGGTGTGGGAGTGGGGGGAGGGGGAGGGTGTGTGTGGGAAGACAAACAAAGAGTAAGGGAGAGTGCTGAAAATTACTTGGCAGCACTTGTCTACCAAGGTATAGTCCACTGACACTAAGCATCATAAAAAGTATTCATATACATATATACACTATACATACATATATAATATACACTATGTATATATATAATATACACTATGTATATATATATAATATATATGGTGTGTATATTATATATGTATATATACATTTATATATACACATGTATATATTTATGTACATATATATATATATATGCATGTGTAATTATGTATATATATATTTATATGTATATACACACTAAATTAATATATATATAATCATACCTAGTAGCCAGAACGCACTTCTCGGCCTATTATGCCAGGCCCGATTGGCCTAATAGCGAGTGATTTTCTTTATTTTTTCAACAAAAAATTTCCAATTGGTTTATTTAAATTATTATTATTACATTAAATTAGGAACATAAATTATTACCTTAGTTATGTTAGGTTCGGTCATACTGTATATCTGTTAGTTTTAACTCAAATTAAAAAATATTAAGTCATACACAATGAAATGGATAACTATCATTTCATAGGAAAAAAAATGAAAAAATATATATATTCAGAAAAACTTTGCTTATTAGGCAAATCGAGCCTTGCATAGTAGGCCAAGTACTGCATTGTGGCTACTAGGTACAATATATTACTATACATATATATACATACATATATATATGTACACATTTATATTATATATATATATATATTCACATACATACAAGATTAAGAGAAGCAGAGCATCATAAATGTCTCAAAGTGAGTGTGGCGTCATGAAGCAGGTAGCATACAGCCGCCGTGTGAGGGCGAGGTAGACCAGGTGGGCGGGGCGGCCACACTACCAGCCCCAGCACGGGTCGGGTCACAGCCAGACTCTTGTACACGTTCACACTTGACCTCACACATACATGTTAGCCCTCAGCCACCTGCTTGATGACGTCACATGAGTTAGTGGTAGGAGGCACACTGGCAACTGTTCACCGTCTGTTGTGATTGGGTGGGAGAGGTTAACACAGGGAAGGCTGGGGTGGGCTGACCTAGCCGCTAAGGGAGGGGTATACAGTCTCACACTGAGGGTGGAGGCATCAACAAGTGGTCAACACTTCACAAGGCTGTCAGTGGAGGGAACACAACAGGTAGGCCAGAATTATGCCTGAGTTACTCAATATTTTGTCAATGGAGGTTTGAGCCTGGTCAAAATTAAAAAAAATAATAAAAAAAAATAGACTCAAGCCTCCACACCATAAATATAAATGCTAGTTTGTATGGGGAGAGGGGCCGTGTGGAGGGCTCAACCTCAAGCCTGCAGGTGGGCACACTGTCAGGTGGCCTGTAGGTGGGCGCACCACCGTCAGGTGGCTTGCTGGCCACATCTACACACCACTCACATGGTGCTAGACTTGCCTGATCATCTACAGATGACCGTGTTTGACTGGCTTGCCACATGGTCTACCCGCGACTGATACTGGTGCCTGGCTGGTCACGTCACGTGTACTCAACTTAGATGTCACAACACACACTCCGGACCATCTAAGATGTACAGCGTGTTCCATGACCCCCTCACACCTCTACAGACGTAAGAGTGTTAATATGACTTACCATATCATCCACAGAAAGCTGAGAATGCAACTGGCTTGCCAATTAATCTGCAGGCGACTGAGATGGTGTCACCAACTTGTCACATCATCTTCAGACAACTGAGACCATGTGACTGACTGGCCACATCATCAACAGTCGACTAAGATAGTGTCACTGCTTGCTACATCATCTACACACTAGTGAGATGGTGCAGCTGGCCTGCCACATCATCTACAGACGACTGACAGTGAAGGCATATACGATAAAACAGTAAAAGAGACTAATTACCGTTCGGGGCCTGGGCAATCGGGCACGGTAATACTGGCTGGATTCTGCTCAGGGGGAGGGGCGTACGTTGGTTGGGCGGGACATGAACCAATCATAGATGACCACGGCCGTCAGTCAGTCGAGAGGGGGCGGGGCCAACATGGGATTGGTCAGAAACAAGTTGGTATTGACCAATCGGACGTTGGCGGGACATCGGGGGCAGCCGCGGTGGCAGGGGCACAGGGAGGGAGAAAAGGCTCCAGTTAACATACCGGCACTCACAGGTTATACCTCCTAGCTTATCTGTCATTATCATCAGTATAACACAATCATAGCAGGCTAATGGTGCCACTGTGCGCACTAGGTGGGGACGTGCAGGTGGTGACCCACCTCACCACTACTGCTGGTCACCACCTCTAGTGGTTACCGCCTCGGTGTGGGGTCACCACTTGGAGGTGGGCGGGGTGGATGGGTGGTGATGTCCACCAGCGCCCACCCCCACTTGAGATAAGGGGCAAGGGATAGGGAGAGGGAGGCGGCGGCCTGGTCCAGATGTGGTGATGAGCGGGGAGGGAGCGAGGGAAAAAGCCCCTACCACACTGGACTACGGCGGTCACCTCCCTGCCCGGAGCTATCTGATAAGGCTCAACACCACGTCTGAGAATCACTCCGCAGGGGAGGTAATGGTGGGACACGTGTAGTTGTACCTGGCTAGACACTTGTCATCCAGCTCTCACCCACCCTGTCAACACCAGCCAACACTCCTCACCCGCACCAACAGCGCGGGTGAGCAGTAGGAACGGCTGCGTGTCAAAAGGGTAGAGAAGTGCGCGTCTGAATAACACTAACTACTGACTGACACCGCAGCGCTACACACCAGCTCTACCTTTAACTAAAAAAATAAATAAATAATATATATGTTGGAATGATAAATAAATGAATGTGAAGACTCTCAAAGCATGGAACAGTAGGTTGGTCCAGCAGTGTCTAGCAGAGGTGAGAGAGAAGGAGGGGGGGGAGGGGGGTTAGGCGAGGGGGCTGAGGGTCCTGGGGGGGGACATGTCAGGCTGCGACGGGAGAGAGGGGGGGAGGGGGGCGTGGGCTACGCACCTCGCTGCGTAAACGAGAAATGTTCTGGCCTCCCTTGCCGATCACCGAGCCTGCAGCCTGTAAACAAAACACTCGTTAGAAATAGCACTGTACGTTTATATCAAATATTAAAAATAGGACAAATATACAAGGCAACATGGTATAAGGTTAACCTTGGGGTTTACAAGGCGACTTTTGGTAAAAGGGCGCCTGACAGCTGGGTGGACAGTGCTTAGGATTCGTAGTACTGAGGGTCTGGGTTCGATCCCCGGTGGAGGCGGAGACAAATAGGCAAAATGTGTCTTTCACCCTGATGCCCCTGTTACCTAGCACTAAATAGGTACCTGGGAGTTAGACAGCTGCTACGGGCTGCTTCCTGGGGGATGTGTAACAAAAAGGAGGCCTGGTCGAGGACCGGGCCGCGGGGACGCTAAGCCCCGAAATAATCTCAAGATAACCCATGGTTTTGTGTATTTACCATTTGTATTTACTGTACTGTGTGCGCGCGTGCAGAATCTAGCTATTAGCTCTTGGCCTTTCTAGCCAACCTATTTTTGTTATGTCTACTACATATAGTTATCTTCATTTCTCTAATACATGCACGAGCACAAACAGAGCAGCCCGTAGCATCTGTAACTCCTAGGTACCTATTTACTAAGTGAACAAGTGCATCAGGGTAAAAGACACTTCATTTGTTTCTTCCTCTGTCGGGAATCGAACCCTGGGTCCTTAGACCTACTACGCCTAGTGCTGTCTACTCAGCCGTGAGGCCAGAGTGTGCTACAACTCCTCCCCCCCCCCCCAGAGATGGGACGGTGTACACCCGACCAGCAACTTCGCCACTTTTAAATATTGAGGGTAACTTGATAATGCTCGCCAGCCGTGGAGGCGACAGCCATCGAGTTAAAAACTGTAGAATTAAAGACTTAAAAACTGACCACATTTGAATGTGAGAGCGAAAGATTTGTAAAGGGATCTAAGGAGTACAATCTGAGGCACTTGCATGACAGAACAGCAGTTGACTTAGGTCCGCGTCCAAGACCGGATCAAACTCATTAGGTAATGTCACACTTTAACCGTCTAGACATTGGTCCCAGAAACGGTATGCCTGTAGCCTTAGTTTTAAAACTGGCCTCATGGATGACCGTCTGATCAATCAAGTTTATTTAGAGGTCAGCCTGGCGTCGGGCCTGGCGTCGGGCCGGGCATCGGGCCTGGCGTCGGGCCTGGCGTCGGGCCTGGCGTCGGGCCTGGCGTCGGGCCTGGCGTCGGGCCTGGCGTCGGGCCTGGCGTCGGGCCGGGCTCGGGGAGTAGAACAACAAACCCTCACCAGGTCTCAAAAATGTTTCACATCTACCATCCTTTGGTGGGACTGCTATGAGATCTAATACCGATCGGAATTATTTCCAGTTCGATTCCGCGGGAAATTAAAGTCTGAAAACAGTTCGCCATAGTAACAAGAGCCCGGTTGACAAATATCCTTTGTTGGTGTTTATCCAGTTCATCTTTGTACACGGATCTATTAGTGATCCTCACATTGAACTTATTTTGACCACGAAGGGTTGTTCGCTGGAACTCTTAACCTTTGACGATTTGTTCATTTGAGACGGTTAACATTTATTAACCCAGAAACATGTTATTTTGCAGGAGCAAAATGGGGAAAGATTAATGAGGATTATTTGACAAAATGGTTTGCCAACTGTGCGAGATGTAGTATAGAGCACACATTCTTAATGATTATTAGAGGGGAACAGTCTCTCGGGTTATGGTCACTTCCCTACCGCGTACATTATATAACTCCATCCCGAATCGTTATGGCACATGGGAGACTATCTTCCGTCACACAGGGTGCAGTTGCACCTCCACAGATGGCTCAAAAGGGCCACCACTTATGGGCTATTCATGCCCGTGCCCCCTTTTGGGTGGCTTAATCTTCATAAATCGTTATGGCACAGATTCAAGACGAATTCCAGCTACTGCAGCTAATTCTCTCTGCCACCATCTCGTCTTCGAGTTCTTCGGCTGCACCTGTCTTAACACGCCCATTCGTAGTGGATCGTACCTAGAGTAAGTTCTGGGAATAATTATTGTTCTCAAGCCCGGCTGGAGGCCAGGCCTGACTTGTGATAACTTTGTCCAACAATGTTCTTCTAATCTTTCCTCAGTTACCTTATCACTGGGCTGTTACCTAATGATTCTCAGATTTGTGACATTCTTAATAAAGTAGTAAATATAGTCTCTTATTAACACCCTCGGCAGCCAACACATCCGGTAATTTCAGATTCTAACACGAGATAGATTCCATAGGCACTTTATCCTTCCCTGATCAATTACCACCTTCACATTTATCTTTATTCGGCGACCATATAGATAGATCACGGCTCTCCTTGTGTGCCCCTGTAGCCACCTTGATGCCAAAGCACCAAAAACGTCATACTACCTGCACAGTACTTCACTCTTGTCCTTTGTTGTCACTGGTCAATGTTCCCGTCACACACAAGCATGGGACCAAACAGTACAAGGCCATTTTGGCCTCATTTTACATTTAAGAAATCTCTAATGGCTCCCCCCCCCCCGCCTCCTGCTGGAGGCTTCAGGTGACCGTCACACCCCCCCCCCCCCCCCCCGTTGACCCTATGCGACAAAGGAGACTTGCCTTGCTCTGGATGAGGAGTCGCAGCTCAGTGTCACCAGCGGGGCGAGGACGTTTAAGTGGTGTTTCTCCTTCCATCTCCGACATCCGCTTCATCCCTGCAACACAAACACACACTTACTGACCTGAACAAGTATAATGTTCACCAAACTTAAAGAATAGTATATGACGAGGGTGATGGAGTTAGGCGGCAGCAGCAGCGGCGGTGATAGGTACACATGAGACCAGATCAATATGACTAGTAATAACAGCCTGTAGTTAATGTTAGTCGAGGCTGACTAGCCTGCCTATTGGGTCATTACTGTCAGCGGCACAAAGGATCACACCACAATAACCCAACATGTTGTACCATTATCTCTGGTCAGCACTCACACCTCACAGGCTACGGTCCTGACTGACAAAAACGAATATTTATATAGAGCACTGCTAGAGAACAAAAGCTAAAGCTATGACAGATAGAAGACTGACTATTTAGAGATTAACATTTCGTGCGTGATTTAGAGTTTAACATGTAGGAGGTCGTGCCTGTGACGGGCAGAACTCTAACCAACTCTGAAATGCAAAAACCTCAAACCAACATGGCACAGAAGAAAAATCTATAATAAATGATGGATGAAATGCGTGAAGCTTAAGCAGACCTACGAACATCAGACCACCAGAGGTAGCCTTCATGCCTCCACACAACCACTCCCTCTGAGCACAACCCTATACGTCCTAAACTAAGCAAGTCACCAACTATATATAAGCAAGCAGACTTCTTGAACAAAATATTATATTGATGCGGGAAGAGGTCTTGGGCCCTAGCTAGGTAAACCTTGCAGCCTCGCAATTATCTTCGTCACAACACGCCTAAATTTATCTATTTCAGTTATATTGCTGGCTTTGCTCCTGTTATCATACAATGGTAAATCAATATTTCTTAACTTTAATCCATTTCCAAACATGTTGTTGATGTTTGGTAAGGAAGAAGACAAGAAAGAAGAGGCGGCCGGCAACGCCCTCACTAACAAGAGTTGGCCTAGACATGTACGATAGCCATAATATTACCTGGCAAATCACACTACTCTTCAAACCCCACTGCCTAACCAACCACACTCCCTCTACCCGGAAATCGGATCTTTTCTCCACCTATAATCACGACAACGAGCACCGGCTTAATTTGACAATGACAAGACCGTCCACACTCAAATATTAAAACTACCCACATATACCTATGCACATATAGGCATGTGCGCTACCAGCATGTGCTCAACGCTCCAATACTAACATGCTCTAGGGAATGCTGGAGGTGGACATTTAAACTGGCAAGTGGTATGCGAGTGGTTGGTCAGCAGGCACCCACACCACCAGCGATAACTAATAAAATCCAGCGTGTTTAAGCAATAACGTGCAATGCGTCACTTATGAGCACAGGGCAGTAGAGGCCGGCTGGTGCAACAAGTCATGTACTGTTTCACAAGTTAAAACATTCCACACGCACCCATGGCGTGTTTAAGGTGTGACACACCTCGCTCTTCACACCAGTATACACCTCTAGTCTACACTCTGTCCTTATACACTTAATTGGTTAGCCCACATCCACTACAACCTGGCTCGTCTACAACTAACAGGGTGGCTACGATCATATTAAAACTTACACTTTTGTTCCCGCAATATTCCTTATAGTTGTTGGAAGAGTTTTGAAATGGTGGGTAATAGGTGGTAGGGTGGGTTCTCCACTCGTGGCAGGACAGTGCCCAGGTAAACTTACCCCACACACCTCGGTACCATAGTCACATCATCAAAACATTAGTGACACTCACAAAGGTTATACAACGACGGCACCACTTGGGCAAGAGGCAGGAGACAAGTGAAGGTTGGTACACTTACAGTGGTGAGCACAAGTGTCCCGGTGCGGCCCTTACCGACTGGCTGCCCGCGAGGAACTGTCGCTGCCTCACCCCCACCCCACCCTACCCATCACCAAGGGAACACTTAGACGGTCAGGTCACTACCCTACCCAGGTCACTCTACCCTACCCAGGTCACAGCCCCCGTCCTCAACAGCCTCGACTGTACGGGAAGATCCTTCACCTCTCTCACTGCTCCACGTGATAATTACCTTCATTACAGTCTGCCTGCTGAGGTTCGTCCATGATGTGGGCGTGGGCAGCAGGGGTGGGCAGCGGGCGTGGGCAGCGGGCGTGGGCTGTGCGGCGTGGGGCAGGCGAGATGCAGCAGTGAGGTAGCGAGGGTGAACGGGCCCGGAGTGACCCACCCAGGTGTACACTGGTGTCCACCACCACCACCACTGCACGCCACCACCCCGCTCCACAACACTCACGCACACCTCTACCACACAACCACCACACTACAACCCCTCTACTATAACCCACGCCCAAACATCAATAAAATTATAAAGGCGACCTGGGAGAGTTCAGAGGTCAGGTCAGACAAGAGCCCTACCTGGCCGTAGCCGGGGGCGTAGTGGGCGGCCGAAGGTGGTGTAGCGGCCAAGGGGTGGTGTTGGGCGGCGGGTGGTGGAGTGGTGTGTGTGTGATGGTGCCACCACGGCGCCACCAGGGGTCTTGGCCCCCTCCACCACACGGCCGCACCTGATTGGTCCATCTCATCCACCCCCCAATTTCCCCGGCTTTAGTCCCTCCTTCCCCCCGCCACTTAAACCCCAATCACCCTGCCCCCCCCCCCCTCCATAGATGCGCCTATACCTGGCATTAGTGCCCACATGGTATTAGCGAGCCCCGTCTGGGCCCTAACTGCCCAGAGTGAACCAGGGCATAAGGTCGCCAAGGGGCTGATCACCCAACAACTGCGGCACGTGCCACTCTTAATTGTCTCAACATTGTTTACCCGTTGCCATGGCGACCCCGCCACTGACCAAAACAAACGCCCCCTCACGTGCAGGCGGAGGGGGGGGGGGGGGGGTACAGTAACGCCGGCACTGGCCAACCCGGCCACCTGACCTGACCCTGAGCCTCACCTGACCCACCCTACTCACCCACATGCCATGGCCTATTTCATGGCCTCTACATCATGTACTTTTATTTCATGTTCCAAGTAGCACGGGATCACCATAGCCCGTGCTACTTGAAATTTTCGTTCCAAGAAGCTGAATCTTAAACACCAACAACAAGAGGTTAACCTGCACCCCTCTGTATATACTTGATGATCAGCCACACCTTACGCCAGGTGAGCCCCCTGCCCCAGGTCCTTGCCACCTCCTTACCTGGATCTAACCTGGAGAGAATCCTGGAGATTTTCCTACTACCCGAGCCCCGCCTCTATTTGTAGTAACTTGGTCCAACAGGCTGTTTTGCTTGCTGCCGGCAGGCCTACATATCCACTACAGCCCGGTTGGTCCGGTACTTCTTGCAAGAACTTATTTAATTGATTCTTTACGTCCACCATTGTTCCGGCAATATTTGTAACGTTTGGTGGAGAGTATTTAACATATGTGAACCCTTGATGTTCAGACGGTGTTCACTCTGATGTGCCTATGGCAGCTCTACTACTCACTGGTTCGATTCAACATTTCCTTCCGTACCTTTCGCTCCAGCATATTGTTATTCTCCATTGCAAATTTGGCTTGGCCTTCCAGTATCTTCCAAGTATATTACTTGATACCTCTGTGGTGGTCGGAGCGTGAGGCACAGCTACACGGAGTATGGCAGCCTTAAGTATTAATGGACACGTTGTCGCCTCCATAAAAATAAGTGACACATTAATACAAGTGACTGTTGTAGGTGTGTAGGGTTTCATCATCAGGAACATCAAGGGTTCACATATGTTAAATACTCTCCCATCAAACATTACAGGAGTGGTGTAGGTGTGGTCGCTTCACACCACACCGACAAGAGTGGTGTAGGTGTGGTCGCTCCACACCCACAACAAGCGTCGCCGCCACAAAGACAGACCTGAGCGTCAAGACACGTACACAACCAACCTCTACATCCACCTAGAATAAGCGTTACTGATAGCATTACAAGTGATAGGTCCGTCCTCTTAGTCTCCAGGGCAATTAGGGACCTGTTGACAAGTCTTATATTTGAGTGAAATAAACTAAAATGACCTGGTGTTACCGAGATGCCTTGATCTTGACCTCATTATGTTTACACTTGCAGACAAGAGGGCGTACCAAGGAGCTGCTTGACATGTTCCAACGGGCCCCCCCCCCCCCAGAGATCAAGAGTCAACCAGCCCTCCAGTTTTAAGTGGGTATCTATGTTTCACCCAGTCTGCGTTTATTGCGTTATCCCGTATAATCTTCACTTTTCCCTCGGCATATTTAAGTTGATAGTGTCAGGAGGTTACGGCCAAGGTCTTCATTAGATCCCTTTATCATACCATACACAAACAGTTACACATTCTTCACCGCCCCTCCTACACAGGCAGCGCCAATGATGACTGGCTAATATAGGGTGTGCACTCGAGATGTGCGCTGGAGACGGTCGCAGCCTGCCCCGAACAATAACTTCAAGCTCCAGGCTCGCAATTTGACTTTAATTAAAATTACACTTATCACTGACTTAAGGACTTTTTTACTTTATCGCTATATTTTAAAATGTAAATTTTATTTCGTGAACCTGTAGATTACATGTACAAGGTTTCCAGAGTTCTACTCATCAAAATGTTTTATGTTGCAAACAATATTAAAAGGGTAAAGTAGGTGAGGCAGGGATGAAGGAGAGTAGGGCCGGCCAGGACCTCCCCACCCCACTGTTGCTGGCTCTCGTGTTATGGAGTGCACAAGTTGGTGAGGTGGCAGCTGTGTGGTCAGGGTAGGCAGGTAGGAGGGTCCATCTCCTCCCTCCCACCATCACTTGTGTCATGAACACCACTATGACAGCCCCGACATATACCTACACCTCACACACCCACTACTATGCCACCCTGCATGAACTCTGTGTAGATGAAACGTTGGCCACAATGTTCATAGTGTCATTATTTGTTCACAATATAATAGAATAATATGATGACATACAACATGCATGTTCTGATGGCACATTTGCATTCTGGGACTCAAACCTTAAATGGTTCAACGCTTTGCAGTTGACCCAGGTAACCCCAACTAGTCTACAAGTAACTGCCAAATAAATCTT